CACGGCAAAATCACCCCAGTGTCGTCCAGTGCACCCTCACGTCATAACCGCCACCGCAAAACTGCAGTTCCCCATTTAACACCTTCCAAACCATTAACGCGCCACTTTGGCCACCATTCGGCCCAATGCATCGTTGGTATCGTTTAGAGGAATGAGTCGTCCGTCGGGGTTGTGTAGGGGCGGCTGCTCCGCCACTGACGCTGGCTGAGAATCTGAGCGGAGCAGGCGTCCGGTGGTCGGCAGACGGCGATAAGACACGTCCCAGGGGCAGGTTAGTCTGGCTTAGATGTGCCGCGTGCCACTGTGCTTCGGAGATAGTAAGGGGTGGAGGATAGTCGTAATGTGTTTCTCCCCTTCTTCGCCAAGATCAATTCGCTTCTAACTAACCTGCCGCAACAGCACGTGTCTCGGCAGGATATAAGGACCAAAGCAAACAGTGAATGTTGACGTTTGTAATATCAAAAAGGAATAAACCTGGAAGGGTTGGGATATTTATTTTAAAGTAGAATAACAGCATAGAGGTGGGTCGGGGAGTAGCTGAACAAAAGCCACAAAGGAGGCGCAGGTGGACGCACGATTGTAAAGTTTTTCTTTGGGTTTTTGAGAAAAATCTAACCTGTGGTTGTAGCCGCACTTCCAGACACATTACTCCCATTTTATAAGTAACCCAATTAACATCATAAAGTTATGGTCTTAAAAATACCGGTATAAAAACCATATTAGAGTACTTACACTCTGGTTATAGAAATCACGAAACACACCGTACTTGTTGATTTTTTCTTCTTTAAAACTGTTGTAACATAAAAGTTTTTGAACCACAAATCACGAAATGTATCCTTTTTGTGATACTTGATTGTTATTTGATCATATCCATACTGTCTCAATGCTTGTTATGGCAACGATAACACCCTAGGCTGTTAAATCGTTGTTGGGTATGCATGTATTGCTATGCAAGTTTGACATTATGATTTTGAATAATTTTACCAAAATCTTTGATAGTCGTTAAAATATAACTTGATCAAAGCCCCTCCCTTATGTGGTTACCAATGAACTGTAATCAAAAGGAGCGTAAGTCACACTGTTACATTTTTGAAATGTCACATTGAGATTGAGTTGAAATTAAAGTTTAAATCTGAATTTGGTGTTTTCTGTCCATCTCAAAGGAAGTACTTCGTAATAGAAATGAATCTAAAACATGCTCCATAATTTATAGAAACAGAATTTTTAACATTAATTCATAGAAAAGATTATTCAGTGTAATTTTTGTTCGGATACGATTGATGGTTTGCTGGTTGCTAACAATATAAAATGGACAGAGCATTCATCTTCTTACACTTTAGTATCACTGTAGTATCACGTAAACTACTCAACGACAAATAACAGACGCCATTGATACTATGTACATACAATATTGTCTGTTATTTGACTTTTTGACGTTAACAACTATAAAAGGTCTTGACGAAAATACAAATTTTTTATAGATAATTTTTTATTTTGTGCTAAAATCGAGTAACTTCCAAAATAAAAAATAGCTTCTTTACAAGCAATAAGGTGTGGTTAAAGCATGGAGGAATAGAATCAGTTTTTTTTCAATACAATTTATAGTTGCCGTTTTTATAATAATAGTTTGTTTTATGATTTATCACTTTGGTACAACTATCTACAGAACGATCAAAAACTCTTTCTATCAAGTAGGCGTCCTGGTTAAGAACGTATGTTGCATGGCAGTTCGTATGTTATCTAGATGTCAAAAAATTATTTTATAAAAACTATAACATTGAGCTAATTACATTGAATTATTCTATGAAACGTCTCAAAACAAACTAAAATAAGATTTTGTTGGTGTTTATTCATAAAAATCGTTCACCACGGTTTCCTGTCATAATTTACATAAAAAATATTTTGACATTTCTCATTTGTCATTGTGACATTTTATTTTCCACAGACAAACGTCTTAAATTTCTACGCTTGCTTGATAGACAGACTTTTTGATCGCACTGTATATAAAAAGATCTTTTTTAAGAAATTCATCAATAGCTCTGACACGAATTGCCTTTCAAAAGTATCCAAATAAAGACTTTAACATTTGTCTTGTCCTAAGTCCTCCTCAACATTTCAATATTATGGTGAAATACGTGGGTACGCTAAAACACCTAAAAACGTCTGATTTAGCGATTTAGCAACTTATACGATACCAAAAAAATCTCAAACCTCCTCTCCCTTTTTCACTTTCTTTAACCGCGATTTCGGCGCCCCATGAAAATCCGAACGCCGGAAACACCTGTAATTAAAATGTCTGGAATACAAGTAACCTGTTGCGAGAAAGAATCGCTTATAAATCGTAAATTTCAGCTTCGCGTTCTTTTGAAAGAGGTCGTCGATGGTGGTGGCTGCGGGGGTCTTTGTGGTCATGGCAAAGCAGTGCTGTTGATTGAAATACACTAAATGAAAGCCATTTCCATTCGATTATAACACTGATGTTGGATTTGATTGCGTATGGTATATCGTGCGCGACAGGAAGGTGTCAATTGCAGGTAGGTGCGGTGCCGCGATCAGTTATCGAACAGATCAGAGGTGATTGTTTGACCGTATCGGAGCCCGAAACGCCTCCATTGTACTGCGCCGCTGGCGAGATTAACGAGTCAAGAGCACTCGCGTGAGGGCGGAGTAGGATGAGGAGAAAACTGCTTCCATTCAAACGATTTTTTTTATAATTTTTCGCGTCTCAGGTAAACCAACTACATTAGGTACTTTTTTATTATTCGGCACATTCTGAATTCAATTTTAACTTTCAACTATAAATTTACTCCCTGTGAAATATCACGTTTTTATTATTAAAACTTTGTCCAAAATTAACAGGTGCGCATTTTCAAATAAGGTCAAAACCATCTTAAAAACTTCCAATCAATAATAAAACATCCCTAAATGTGCTGATGGTGCACCAATAAGAAATCTGCGTCTGTCGTTTTCTGCAATAGTTGATAACATTAAAAATGTAATAATGAACACGTTGAGGCAGTTGCCCATTTGACACATGTGGCGCGTTCCGAGCCGTCATCTGGCCTGGATTCCTCCGATATGCAGACGCTTGCCACCAGCTTCTATGTATTTGAAATAAATGTCGTAAAAAGGAGGAAAAACTCCATTCGGGGCATACATGTTTCTGACACTTCCGAGTGGTGTTCGCTCGGACCGATTTTAATTGATCAAAACAGTATAAATTAGGGAATTATTCAGGCTTTGGGCTGACGATGAGCCAAACCGCCAGTTTTTGGTGTATTTCACGGTAAAATTCGATGTTTTGTTGTTGGCACCAGTGCCAGCGGTGACCGCAATACTTTATGACACAGGCCATGTTGTCGGGCCATCTGCGTAGGCCATGTGTGGTCGTGCGCTATTTAATGGGGCCCTAATTAGGACACTACGTACAAGATTCGGCTTTTCTTATAGCAACGAAGGGTAGCTGCGGTTTATCAATTTCAGAAGATTCAATTAAGAAGTAAACAACCCCTGGTCTAAACGCTTCGGCGCGAGTAAATTTTTTATTAAATACGGTAAACAGTAACAAAAAAGATAATAAAAAATACCAAGGGTGCAATGAGGAGATTTTGGACCGAAGAAATGTTTAAAGCCCAACGTTGGAAGACTTTTAATTTTCTGAGGGCCAATTGCCAATTATGTCTGTGGTATATACAAGGGCCTATAAAACCCAAATTATGCCCGCTTTTGGAAGCTTAGAATTATAGTATCTTAAAAAACAAGTGTCTCATATTTTGATACGAGTAGCTTGTGACACGAACCACGCAGTGGCGAGTGTTACATTGCACGAGTATGCAGCCAGTGACAGCAAAGAAATTGCAAAAAAAGTGTTACGAAGTTGCATTTTGAGCAACTGTTTTGAGTTACACAAAATTGGTCATCGTGACACCGAAATAGAGAAACAAGTTTATAGTTCCAAAATACAATGAACAGCATTTTTTTCAAACGGAATTTTTTAAGCAGGCTGTTTTTCACAAGAATTGATAAAGCAGATTCTCGTTTAGTAATAGTTTATCATAAAAATCAAATGTTTGCGTATAAAATTTGGTAGGGCATACATTTCAGGATTACGATAAAATTGTACTTTAAAACTAACGATTACTCCTATAATTTTAAAAATAAATGTTTGCATCTTATTGAATTTCAACTAATTAAACTTAAATTAAAAATAAAGTTTTGGTGTATTTTCCCTAAACGAAATCCCGCGTCAGGCCTCTCTGGGTTTTTTCTTGGGATTCTTTTCATGCAATAAAAGAAAATTTGCGGTATGATCACCAGGCCATCCGCCGATGTCAAATATATTCGGAAAACTTGTTCAATCAAACCAGGCCGAGGACATATCCTCCCTCGACGCCAAGCACATACGCGGCGGCGGCGGCGGCGGCTCTTTCCATCTCCGCATTCAGAATAGTAGGAGACCATCTGTCTTTTATATCAAGCCGGCGGCACTTCTTAGGCTCTTTGTTTTCCGTAATTAAAACAAAAGTTGACAACAGATGGCGGCGGCGCACGTCGCCGCTACCGTCGTGCGCGCCCCGATTGTTTTTTGTGATAGATTGCTTTGTCTGTATTGTGCATAGTTTTGATTGTTTTTCGCTGCTTCTGAAAGGTAAATTTATTAGCGTCACCCGGTTCTGATTTCTATCAGGGGTGTGCACGGCCGACTTTTCCGCACCCGGACGGGGGCTCATTTTAATTTATCACTGACAAAAGGATTGACTAGAAACCTATCGGTGAGGAGAAGAAACGGAACTAGCAAATTTTTAACTTGTCCAAGTCGAAGCGGGCCATAAAGCTCAGGTGTCGCCGCTATTAAAATTAAATACTGCCAACGAACACGATTCTGGAAAATGTGCTTGCAAGCAACCCAGATTTGCAGATTTTGCTATTGGTTATTGAGATTAATAAAAAATTCAATAATGCTTTAAGAATGTGACAAAAATATGGCTCTTGTGTTCCAGCCGTGGCCAAAGATTGCTGCAAAACTCCGGACTCTCCGGAAGGCCCTCGACAAGCCGCAGCGCCTCTTTCACCCACCCAATCCTCACCTCCTCGACACCCTACAAATGGTACTTCTTCGCCAGTCAACAATGGATCCGCCGATAGCCTAACACCACCACTGCCCGCCTCTACTGTTCTGTCGGTCAACTTAGATACTGTTCAACCACAGCAGTTCCATGGTAGTAGCTATTCGAACGTTACCAGACCACTAGTCAAAGTCAAAAGGTTCTTGAGCACTTTGGTGCAATTCGGCTGCGATATTGGACCCGATATAGGCGAAAGAGTCCGTAGTCTAGTACTCAACTTAGTTGTAAGTGAATCTTCTTTTTTTCCTAGCTGCTTATTCTTAACCCACAGTTCTAATTATAATTGTTAATGGCGTTGGGGTGCATGTTGTGCAGAGCTCGAATTTAAGCATAGAAGAGTTCCACCACTCGCTGCAGGATGTCACCAACTTCCCTCTGCGTCCATTTGTGTTGCCGTTTCTGCGGACGCATCTGCCGCTGCTGCAGCGTGAGATCCAGGCTTTGGCTCGTGCAAATAAGCAGGTAAAAAAATACAAGCACTTTTCGCTTGTTATTGTTTTAAGGAAGTTTAGGCGAGCTTCGAGTTAAAGTAAATAATATATAGCGAAGGGTGGTTAAAAGAAAGAATTACTTTGCACGTCCTGTATAAACAGAAGCTTGGATAGAAATTAAAAATAAATAATAGAGGAAACCTGAAAGCAAATGTCTTAAACGGTTACATAAAAAATGAGCCGGTCGAGATCAATATGCAAATCGGTCGACGCAAAGCAAATAAATCAAGGAAACTCAATAATGGATTCAGTACAGTCGAAACAAATCAAAAAATAATTGTAAAAGTTCACGGCGAGATGTTATGGACGAAGGCGCAACTTTTATTGTTCCTTCACTTCTTGTAACACGTGGCTTTTACAATTTCCATTAATTAAACCGCTCAGAAATATTCCAATTTCCGATATTACCTATAATGGAAAAGACGATGTTCTCCAGATTGCACCAAGAGAAAAAACTAAGTATTTCGACGAAAGTCGGCACTCCAACAAGTTATACAAAGTGATTTGTACACAGTTTATTTTAAGTCAAACTTTAATTTTGAAGAAGGAAATTGGTACTGGGTCATCAGACAGTGTAATATAAAATTTCGGAGAATACGTGTAAATCAAACATACAGCCTGTCTCTTAGCAGCCATCAAAAGTTGCACAATCAAAAATATCTGCAGGTGTAAATTCCATTTTAAATGCAAGATATCGTCTGATTTAATGCAAATATCTAAACAAAGTACTGCAACTGCTATGATGTTTCTAATAACTATTTTCAAATTTTCTAAAGAAAGAGATTTAAAGATGTGGTAGCGCAGATCGCCACCTGTCAAGTGTGTGGGGAATCTAGACCTTTACACCGGGGGCTGGGAATTTGCAAAAATGTTGTGCCTCTTTTTCACACAAAGAGATTTAAGCCAGACACAATTTTGAAAATTCAAAAACCATCATATTACATACAAACTCGTAATTATTACATACACGATTATAATTAATAGGAGTATAATAGTACATATCTAATAATTATTTATGTACGAGTATTAATAAATTTGTTGGATGTTTATATCTTTTAAGAGCGACAAATTTTCAAAGTCGAGGGTCTCAAATAGCCTCCATGGTACTACAACGTTCTATGTTTCACCTTAAACTAAAAATTTTAAATATGAAATGTTAAATGATAAATGATTAAGTGAATATACATTATCATGGAAAACAAATAGTAGCAACCTCTACTGCCCTAAGGCATTATTCCGTTCATAATAGACCTCAAATGGTAGTCATTATTGTTCAATAATGAACAGGTGAGACATAAATTACATTTTTTGAAGCGCTTTTAACATTGTTTCATTAATGAAACACACTTATATACAGGGTGAATCAAATCTTACCGTCAACTCTAAAATGTCAATTTCTAAGTAATTTGTAGAAACATGTCAAAACATACTAGTTACTTATGTACCAAAGGCGTAATAAGAAGATTATAGCCCCAGAGGACGTCTAAAGCCCTACTTTAGGAAGACTTTTAATTTCGCATGTTTTGATTGAGTTTGGAACTACTACTAAAATAATTTTGCTATGACCTATTCAACAGCTACGCAAAGATAGAGACTGTTTATAGTCGTAAAAAATAACTTGATCAATGCTTCGCCGTTACGTGGTTACTAATGAAAAGCTGTAATCAAAGGTAGCTTAAGTCACAATGTAACTTTTCGAAATGTCACGTTGAAATTTAGTTAAAAATCGAGTTATTTGTATTACAAGGGAGGAAAGTGTATCTTTTTCTCCCACAGGTGTAAGTTACTAGGTTACTAGGTAACCACCCAGTGTAATACATATAATTTTTCCTCCGATCCAGCAAGAAAAACTTCAAAACTAAGAACTTCTCTTGAGATACCAGTTTCGCCATTAAATCTAGCAGTATGTTTTTCCGTTTCTATGGGGAAGGTAAAATTATTTACCTCCCTGAGAGGTTTCATATACAGGATGTTTAAAAAATGCCGCACTAAAACTATGGTACGCTATCTAGTAGCATTTGGTGAGTGAGGGAAAAAAATTAAAAAACTTCTTGATGTTAAATTTGCACGTGGATGAAGGTTTATTTTATGGTAAATCTGGCAACTGCGTGAACCTACCTTGAGAAAATCAAGAGAGTTGCCATGGAATAATTCGATTCTTGAATTCATTGTTACCTTTAATCTAAAACAACACGTCTAAGCTCTAATAATAATTAGTATCTGTCCCTTTTTCGTTTTTTTTTTGAGTTGTAATCATTTCGTTTTTTGTTTCAGTCCTCTTTGCAGTACATCCGTTCTCACGACCATGTGATCCTCGATTCGACCCACTCGCCCTCCGAACTGTCCGAAATTTTCATGTCGAACGAGACGCCCCTGGTCGCCGGCCTGAAACGCCGCGCTTCTGACAGGTAAACTCCGAAACACGTAATCCATCAAACCTTGAGCAAGCCTTGCATCTTCCTCTCGAAAATTCGGTAGAGGTCATAGTGACGCAGGTCGAACCGCTATATTCAATAGTCTGCATGCGACCGTTTTATTAAAATGAGTAATGGTTTCTTTCAGTTGGCGGGCCGTTGGCGCACGTTGCGCCGCCGGTGCCATCTGGCGGGAACAGCACTCTTTTTACCAGGAAACGTCCCCCTCCAACCACCCTTTTTCAACGTCACTTACACGGGCCTCTTGCCTTTTAATTACAACCCTGACGTGAACTTTTGAAATTTTAGGACGAAAACGTTAATTTCTGCTTGTTTGTGTCATGTTAATCAATCGCTCGACGAATTTCCACTCTTTCAACGGCTAATAACGTATTTATGGGAAGTGGCGGGGGCGCCCTAGCTTTCTTACGGGATGTTGTCGGCTTTTCAAAGAAGCGGATTTGTGGGACCAAATTCGCGATATGTCGCTAAAACAGGTGTTCGTATTTGAGTATTAAGAGAATTGGATTCTGATGCAGTTTTTACTGGTAACTAACTGACATTTCCATCAATCCGCGCAGAATTAGAAATCGATTTTTAACGAGATTCGAATGTAAAATGGAACTTAAATAATAATCGAGAAATTGCTTCGGTTAACATGAAATCGATAAAAGGAAAACTGAAGTATTAGACCGAGAAATTTAACATGCAACAGTGGAAATTTTATCGGGACGCCTTAGAAAGGGTTTTGAAGAAATAGCAAATCCTCTTTAAAATATTAAATATAAATAAAATATTTTGCAAAATTGTTCTCCCACACTAGCAATACAGTTTCTTATCATTATTACACCAAAATTGGACTCTAACTCCACATACATATACATATTTGATTTGAAGTAAAAAATGGTGGATGCGCCGGGTTACAATGGAAATTACAAGTATTTTTGTATATAAAAAAATAAAGTATTAAAACAAAATATTAGAACAAAATATCCCATCAAATATCATATTAATTGTTGAATTCAATTGAAAATAAAAAATAAATTTTGATGTCTTATTTCTACCCTTTCAAACCTTTTGTTACTGTGGATTATTATAGATTACAATATTTTTATAAAAGTATTGCTAATAGGTTAGATACTAGGAGTACTATTTAGTAAGTTTATAAAAAAAAACATTATTTATTCTTAACAAATAAACTGATCAACAATTGTAGTGGTGATTAACTATTTTTTGAAAATTTGCAATTAAAATGTATGTTAAAGTAATACAAATACATACTTACTGTCAATAGACACGATTTCGAAAGTTCATTATGCGTTTGTTTTACATTATTATTTATGTCCTTTTTTCTTTAACGATAAAATGCAGGATTGTGGCTACAATACCTTAATAAAAGCCGTATCTCAAGACTTTATCAATAATTTGATAATGAGTCATCCAAATAGAGTGTAAGACATAATAAGAGACAGGGGAGGTCCAACGCGATAACACGATACTAGGTTTTTAGAGATTTTAATTTTAATGACTATTTTCTTCAGTTTTGACTGTGAAGGAGTAGAAGTTTATTTATTGCAACTGTTTTTTCTAATATCCATTTCAATTGTTGAGCAGTTTATAACACATATAGGCTAAATTGGTTAGAACGCAACATTGCAGTTAATTCTTTTCTTTGGTTTTTGTGAAAAGACAAAGATGGTAGGATTGTAATGTATAGAACAAAAAATACTGTAGATACTCAAATATTATTTTTATTGTTTTATAACTTATACATTATGTATTCACAGCATATACGAGAATGGCACGAACGGCCAGCCACACGATTCCCAAGACTGCCTCTCTATAAAACGTCCCATGAACTCTCAAAATGCCTTTCTATTCTCCCACCAGAGCCTCCTCCTACCGAATATGTCGTCGGCAATCCCCAATTCTCACTTCTTCGACTACAATCAACACAGTCATCTCCCGCAACGAGTCGAAGATAATAACAACACCCCAAATCGAGGTGACGAAGAATGGCGCAACATCCACGTCATGCTCAACTGCATTCTGTCCATGGTGGAAAAGACAAAACGAGCTTTAACAATCTTACAACAAAGAAATAGTCAAGACTTAACCAACGAATGGTTGAGAAAACAAGACGTCAGTGTGGATCTCAAGAAAGCTGCCAATGAAATAATGGTCCAAGCGGTTCGGCAGACGGAGGATCGTGTCGCAGAAGTGAGAAGAAGGGCCGAAGATGCGGTCAATGATGTAAAAAGACAAGCAGTAATCGAGCTGCAGAAAGCCGTTGCGGCTGCCGAAACGAAAGCCAACGAACTCGTAGCTGCGGAAAGGGCCAAAATGGAGAAACTTCTAGCCGGTGAGTAATTTTCTATTGTGGTTGCTTCTAAATTAACGAAATACAACAGAAGCGAGGAAACATGGCGACGAAAATCAAGACACCCCAGATAATAGTCTATCACCACCAGCTTCACAACCGCAGCCTTCGCAACAAAATGTAAGTTGTGTTTGAAGTACTATTTCTGCTAATTTTTCGGTTTTAGTCATGTTGGAACTGCGGCAGGAAGGCCCACGAGACCTGTTCGGGCTGTAGCGTAGCTAGGTATTGCGGCCCCTTTTGCCAACACAAAGACTGGGAAAACCATCATCAGATATGTTCAAAAGAAAAGATGAGACCTTTAAGGACGTCGACTCCGAGTACCACAGCGCCACCAACACACGTCAATCAGAACGAATCGGTCAAATTCAAAAAGTGACATTTGAAGAAGGGTCGCAAGTGTAGGAAATTTTAACCATCATTAACTTAAATCATTAATATAAGCATGCTGAATCATCGTTATTACGTTTGTTCCTCATTAATACCAAAGAAGCACAAGTAGATTTCTCTAGGTGTCTTGTATCTGTAAAGTCTGTTTGTTGGGCTTGCCTTTGGGGGCTCACACCTCTAGATCTTGGGTAAAGACACTCTTTTTTAGAGCGAGGCGAATGGAAAGGAAAAAAGTTGCTTTTAGAGCAAAAACCAAAACAGATCTTTTTTCAATATGTAGTTTCGGGGCCCGCACGAGATAACACTGTATAATTCGACTACCAGATAATCATTTTTCTTACCTTACCAAAAGAACAACACTGAAACTACCGTGCGATCAAATAAAAAAATAAATTAGAGTAGGCGTGGATTAAATTCTACAGTTGGCAACACATTGGCTGCGAATCTGGGCTGAAAATTTTCCACACAAACTGAAAGTGACCATTTACCGTTTTCGTCTTGTACAGCAATAAAAAATTTCTGCTCTAAAGTGAACATTATTACACTCAAAAAGACTAAAACGCAAACTTGTCAAAGTTTCCGCTGACATTTGATGCCAAAAAATCAAAATTCAGGATTGCCATCTGAAGTGCTTTAATCACCGCCTACTCTAATTTATTTTTTTTTGTTCGCACGGTAGTTTTTCTTAATTCTCTGACTAGTTGAAATGAAACATTTCCATATGCCTTGCCTTATCGCACTTAACGTTCTCATCATCATTTTTATTTTAAAAATCTGGTCTATTCATTCGACTCTCAAATAATTCAAAGATAAATAGATGCACTCCATATCCGACGTGTTGATCGGTTTATCTTTGCCAAATTTTGTTGTAATATTAATCTAGTCACTTTTACAATTTTTGGACACCAATTTACTAATTCAAAAATTTAATTAGATAAAAGCAATTACTTTAGTAAATTGGCTTCCAAACATACGTGTATAAAACGTTAGACAGGTAGTTCATTATTGTACATTTCCATGTTATTTAGTGTTTATTATTTATTTTATTTATATTTTAAAACTGATGTACTTTCCCAATATAAAATTCACATATTTGTTGTATTATTTCAAAATATCTTCAAATAGTTTTTCGGCCTTTTTGACGATATTAAAAGAATTTTTCCACTCGTCTTTGTTGCGTTTGTATAAAGCTAGATTTATTTTATTTGCAATTATTTTACCGTACTGTGAACTAGACCATGACCCATCTTTATAGACCAGTTCTTCCATAATCGCCAATTTATTTTTCAAGTTGGCAGCATTCCAGATTGCTTCAAATGACCTTGAACCGAATTTAGACGATGCCAACTCTTGATAAGTCCCCTAAAAAAATGATACGTTTCTAATTGAGAATATAAATATTACTACCTACCTTCATTTTCCTAATTAACTTTTCACGGCTCTTTTCGCCAACATATACACTTTTGACGTATGAATCAACAATGTGGCTACCCATTGTGTTAGAAAACAAGGCTTTTAATTCGTTTTGATCCATGTTCAATAAACCATTGACAATTTTTATTGGTTTGTTAAATTCTAGTAACAATTGAAGAATTAAGGTCCCATGCAAACTTAATTTATCCTTTTGAAGATTCTCTTTTGATTGTTTTTGAGTTGTATCAAAATCATTAAATTTGCATAAACATAAAATGAAATCCTTGTGTCTTTCTTCTTCAACGCAGTCCAAACTTTTCATCAAGTTTTGCATAAAACTCCCTTGTTTTGAGGCCAAATTCTTGCAACTTTGGGCAAGGCCCCAAATTATACCCGTGTGACCTGCTTCAATAATTTCTTTAAAGTTGTTGCACAGTTCATCAAACATTAATTCAAACTAAAATAAGAAAATTAAAAACTTTTAATTATAACTCCTTAATTATTTTAACAAACCTCTGATTTTTCCTTACAGTTCATTATTAATTTTTGTACAGTAAAGTTTGTGCTTCTTGTAGTTGCCAATTTAATGAGTCTGCCAGAAAAACATTTTAGAAATATCTGACTAAACATTTTTGACTTGGAAACTTCCAAAGCGATCTCCAAGACCATCATTGCCGGTTTAGATAAAAAAACAGATGACAGTTTATCACTCTCATTGGTTTCAACCTCTGGCGCAAAATTGATTGCAAGCAACTTCTGTAGAAGTGTTTTCAGCAACTTTTTGTCTGCTTTTTTGAGAACTTTTAGTAAAGATTGTAAGAATCCAGAAGTGACATCGGTTTGGCACAAGTCACCAAACTGGGGCCAATGCATTATTCTTTCACAGTAATCTTTAATGACTTCAATGAAGTCTTCTGGAAGTTCTACTTTTGTGTTAAAATCTTCTAATTTTATCTTTTCGTTTGGAATTTGTGCTAAGCTCTCCAAACATCTTCTAATAACATGATTTCCATATGTGTCCCATAAATAATCTTCTAGATTATTAAGCAAAAATCTGCTTACTTTTAAAACAAATTCTTTACAATGTAAATTAATATTATCTTCAGAAGTTGGTTCAAACGTTTTTTTGGTGGCTTCTGCTACCAATGATTCCAGAACATGTGATGCAAATCTGTCACAACATAAAGGCCTCAGCTCCTCCCCAAAACATGTCATGTATCTTCTCAACACTTCATCATTGGCAAAAGGTATTAACATTTCAATCACCCGACATCCAACTTGGTTGCAACAGCAATTGATTTCCTGACCAACAGTTTGTTCAAATACATTATTTACGAAAATTGCTAAAAAATAAGCTTAGAAGCATATCTGATAATTATGAAAATCTACCTTTATCCTCATCTGAATCAAAGCCTTGCCTGTAAACTTCCATAATTCCAACAAAATATTGGTAAGTGTCAGCGTCCAGTTGACTTCCTCGACCGTAACAGCCTTTCTTCGCATATTTTCTAGCATTTTTTAAAAATGACTTTTTTCGTTTTCGCTTATAACGATCACTTTTTTGCACTTGTTGAACATCTTCTTCAGACATAGTCACGTTTTTCAAGCCGTAGTTTTAATCACTTTCTGAAAATCTTGTTAAAAAAGAAATTATATTCCAAAACAATGAGGCTGAGTTTGAGGTTATGTGAGTATCATCCTTTCATCGTGGTAGTCCCTTTCAACTAAGAAGCATGCGTTCTAATGTTCGAATGTGCGATATTTCAACTTTTTGTAACCTACAGTAAGTATATAATTTTATTTATTTTTTTAAAGAAATGAAAACGTTTTAAGACAACCAATGCTTGGATTTTTTTTGGTTCAAAAAAAACATTAGTTTTAATCTGCTTGTGTGTCTTAACCAATAACACAATTTTTTTTAAGTTAGATTAATAAATTTGTTATCTTGTTGCTGCAAATTTAGTGTGGACATTGTATATAACATAATTATAATTTTCTAAAAAAACAACCAAATTAAATGTGTTCATTTATCTATTAAAGTTTAGGCGTATTGTTGGTTGTAGCATTCTAGGGGTTTTTGAGAACAGAAATAATGAAAACAGATGATTTTATTTTTACACAAAATATTTCATTACTTGAACACATAAATTTTGTTTTTTAATGTATTGTAGGTATTTGAAACTTAATTAATTTAACATTAACGCACAGTACAAATGCAACTAATTGGAGTGTTTCCCCTAATTGCTTTCGCCTCCTGAAATCCAAAACCTAATAATTCTCAAAGCAACGGTATCAAAAGCTTGGTGTATTATATTATTGGCGACGTATGTAAGAGAAGCCGAGTTTTGTAAAGCAATACAGTGATACTAGTGACAGCCTGTACAATCATCGGATTATAAAACGGTAGCAAATTGCAGGGTCTGACAACTCGTCAAAAGTTACCATTCAAATATTTGACGGTAAGAGGAGCCTGAAGCTGTTTCAATTTCAACAACTGAAAAGAAGCAAACTTGTTTCCCTCGAGGCGGTCTTTATGCAACGATTATTAGCTAATTCACCAATGGCGTCTATGAAAAAACATCCCCCAGGTATCAGCCTACCGTCAAGAAATAATCGAGTTTTCATATTCACAAACCGATTAATTGATCTCGTTATTGTGGAATGCGCTCAACTGGTTCATACGAGCTTCGTTATTTTACACCAGTAATTCATTTTCGACGTTTTCATATCTAAATATCCGTAAAAACGACCTGCACACTGAACAAATACAAAACGAGAACCATAACAATAATTGCTATCGGGTGCTTCAATTTTTACGATGGATGCGTATAACGCCGTTATGTTGCATGTTTCGCTGTTTAATAAGTTGAAGGGATGGAGAGAGAAATTTTATCGGGCTCGTTATTATTGTTGCCTCAACTTCAATTTTAGTAAAATTGTAAGAAAATTATTCATAGGTTCTAAACATAAAAGAATCATCAATAATAGTTTTAGAGCTGATATTTGCTCCGGGTACCGAAACCGAAAATCGAAAGCTCGAAAAAATTGAAACCTTTAACAATAAAACAAACGCACTCTTAGGGATGCAATAGGCTTAAAAAATGTATAGAACATTGTGGAATCGCTTTTGGAAAATTTTGTTTTGAATAAATATATTGGATTGGAACCAAGACACTAGCCGGGGGTGCGTTGACTCAGCGGTAGGTATAAAATAGGCCACCGAGTTGGAGGCAATTTTTCTTTAATTCTAATAATCATAATAACAGAGTGTAAGTGTAAGTATTGGTACAAAAACTAAAATTATACAGGGTGATTTTGATATAGTTTTCCTAATTTTAACTACCAAGTCCCACAGTCGGGTACGTTAACAAAAAAACATATTTTTTTGGAAAAAGGCAATAGTGGACGAGAAAATTATGATTAACATTTAGGTAGTAAATTTAAGTACGACACTGGATAATCACTTTCCATTTCAAGTGGTTTTTAGGGTTGCAAAAGAAAAAACGGATAAAAACGCTTATCGCTTGGCGTTTTTGTAGCTTTGTCGTTTGTTGACCTTTTAATCGGTGATAAAATCGCCGCAGTTAGTGTTTCGGTGCAAATTTGTAATTAATAATTTGTGTTAATAATAAAAATGCCCTACACTAACATCGAGTACGCGGACATAGTGTACTGTTATGGCTTAGAATAGCAGACGGTAATGGAGAACAGGCCCGTTTATTTTACCAACAACGTTTCTACACGTAGAATTGCTCATCAGCTTGAAGTATCTCAATTTGTTGTTTGGCGTACTCTGCATGAACAAGGATTGTACCCCTATCATGTACAGAAAGTCGATAACTTCAGCAAAAATGTGTAAACGAATCGGAGTTTTTAAGTGTGGTACCCTTTACCAGATTTACGCGAAATGGAGTTTTTAACTCGCGTAATACACATGTGTGGTGTGATGAAAATCCTCACGCAATAATAGAAAAACGTGATCAGGTGCAATTTTCAATTAACGTTTGGGCTGGAATTATTGGTGATTGTTTAATCGGACCACACATTTTACCAAATCGGTTAATTGGCGAAGCCTATTTAGAATTTATAAATCAAGTGCTTCCCAACCTAGTGAAAGATGTGGTGCCACTCGCGACGTTATATACAGAGAATGTGGTAACTTCTTGACGGAGCACCTCCACATTACGCTCGTATTGTCAGTGGTTGGATGAATGCTAATTATCCTGATCGATGGATTCGACGAAATGGTCCTGTGTTGTGGCCAGCAAGATCGCCCGATTTAAATCCGTGCGATTTTTTATGGGGTTATTTAAAAGATCTTATATACCGCAAACTTGTCAATTCTGTGAAAGAACAGATAGAACGTGTTTTTCTGGCTGCAGAACACATACGCGAAGATCCAGGCATATTTGCTAAAGTCCAGAGTCCGTAATTCCTGCGACAAAGAAGTGAACCCTGCATTGCCAATAACGATCATCATTTTCAGCATCTACTTTCAGGGCCGCCACAAGCGGGGGTGCAGGGCGTGCGGTGCACGCGGGCGCCATATCCAGGGGGCGCCAGACGAGCAACAAATTTTAATAAAATCATAAATAAAAAAATTGAACTACTCAAACAACAATAGATGCAAAAAAAATAAAATACATAAACATAATTTAAAACACATTACAACAAAATATGCGGAGAAAGTCATCATACTGGAGGTCCGGATGTCCGGAAAAAATATTGAAAGATTTTGGGGGCAGGTTTCCGTCGTCAAAAGAAGAAAAAAAATTCTAAAGACCTATGTTCAGAAATGATTCCTAAACGAGCTAAAAAAAGCTAAAAGATCTTTTTTTCCATTATCTCAGTAACCGGTGGACATAAATTTACAAAAGATTACATCTGAAGTAATTTGAATGAATCTATTGCTGATATTACAAATTGTGTACTCTAATTAGGGGGGCGGAGGCAAGTGACAAGTACTAAAGTTTCCTATGAAACTATATCACTTTTTCAAATTATTTCAAGAAATTTAATTTTTTTTCTAGCAGAATAGATGCAGTTAAACAATTGCGGTATCATATCTCTAGACTTTTTTATACTCTGATGAAAATATTTAAAGATGATTCTTGGAATATTGCTACTACCCATAAAACTCCTTTACATGCCCTTGTTACAAAATCGTATTAGTTGTTTTCATCACAATTTGAGTTGATATTTTAAACAAAATAGATGATGCGGAGTTTTAAAAGTGTAAATTTTCTTCAGAAACTAATATTTTATTTTACAAAATATCAGTCAAATAAAAGCTTAAAAATATATAAATTCTTTGTTCCGTTTGAACCGAAATTTCATTTCGTAGCGTTGGTCCTCTTCTCGGTCTTATCAAATTCGATAAAACGGGACTGTAGGTAGTATGAAATTCAGAAAAGTACAGTTTTTTTAAGTAAAATTTTCAATGTAAAACTTATTTGATTATTTACAACTTTAGAAAACATTTTAAATACTTTTTAATTAATTACTTTGATTTATTGACACTTCTTGATAACCAAATTTAATAAAAATTCTCTTTAGTTTTTAATCTTAACAAAATTCTGTGAATAAATTTTTTATAGGTACAAAAGAATACCCATACTTTATTAACAAAAAAGGGGGCGCCAAATTCAAATTTGCACGCAGGCGTTGAAACCTCTTGCGGCGGCCCTGTCTACTTTAAGTACCTAAGTAATTTTTGTATGAAGTTTTTTTTTTTAAAAAAAATTATCATCACTAAACTACAAAAACGTCTCTTATGTCGATTACTTTTTTCTTTTTTTATTGCATTTCATTTTCATTTAAGCAAAGCAGTGAGCGTCGAATGTAGGATAGGACGGGGTTAATTTTACATTAGCGAATTTCAAATTTTTGACACTTCCCAAAGTTTACATTGCTTCTTCAAATGTCATACAAAAAATTACAAAAAGTATATCAAAATCACCCTGTATTTTAGAAACAACCAAATTAAGCATTCTAATTTTGTATACAATTATTTTCGATGTTGTCAGACTGTTGTCAACTTCAGAAGATTCACAGTTTTTTTATTTTTTTATTTTGTAAATTGCGACAAAACTGTACCTCAAACGTTATAATGCTTTTATGCATACAAATGTAAAATATTCCTAGAAATCGATTCTCCATAACTACGTTGGACAATTATCTTTTTTTAAGAAGACGAATAAAAAATTAATTTACTTCCAAACAAAAAGGACTGGCGTCAATAATTCCGAAGTTCTTAGCAATAAACCGTTCCGGGTCTCGAAAATCGACCAACATTTCGACAAAAATCGACAAAATTATAAACTTTAAAATTGAACCATCACTGGCTTTTAACATGATTTCAAAGAAAGACGAAAAAGAGACTAACAGTTGTTTATGAAAAATATAAATATTAATACCTATTTATTTTACTATTTATTTTTTAGCGTTTGGTCTCTATATTTTTTTTTTGTTGCAATTTATCATTCTTATAAAATTTATGAACTCAGAACCCCATAGAATTTTATACCCTTAGATCAGCTCTATGCATCTTTTATTAACCTACAATTTCCACCAATACGTCATTCTTGATTAGCTTTTGATTAACACTCCCTTTTTTCTTGCAATCGGCTTTACACCCCAATCATACCCCAATATGAAGATGAAGCTGTCCCACTCTCGTGCCTGTATAATCCTCAGCAGCTAATAATGTGTCAAACGCAAAGCTAACGCTTCCAATGTATGA